AAGAATTGTTGATATGTTTGTTATTTTCAGTGGTCAGAAGTGGCCTAAGGAAGATTCGAAAACAACTGTTAGAAATACGTTAAGACTGCCGGGCATGGTGGCACATGCCTGAAATCCCAGCAGCTCCAGAGGCTGAGGCAGGAGGATCGTAAGTTCAAAGTCAGCTTCAGCAACTCAGTGTGAACCTGTCTCAAAATAAAAAGTAAAAGTGCTGGGGATGTCGCTCAGTGGTTAAGCATCCCTGGATTCAATCCCAGGGAAGGAAGGAAGGATGGAAGGGAGGGAGGGAGGGAGGAAGGAAGGAAGGAATTCTGACTTAAAAAGAACAACCATCAAGACACATCCTCCTAAGTGATGAATTGATGAACAGTGGTGAACAAATCTTGAACAGAAAAATTACCATAAAGAAGGCTGTACTTAGAAATTATTTAGAGTAATTGGACAACAAAGCACTGAAATGACTTGAATGAAATGATGAATGAAAAAATAATATACAACTCTAGTTAGGGATCATTATGATAATCTGGATGTGCTGAAATAATGAACACGGAAAGAACAGACAAAATTTGGCAGTAAATGCTTTTATGAGAAAAATATCTTATGAATGGTGAGAGAAGCCTGAAGAGAGGGAAGTGTTGTAATGCTGTAGTCCCTAACAGCTTCTTTTCAATCCTATGACTTTTAAGTCAAAGGAGTGGGAGGAGGCCAAGGGGAGAGGGTTGATTTCTGGCTACAGCTTCAAAGCTTACTCTTCTTTTCCCTTTTTTAATGAGCTATTGACAAACATGTCTTTTATTGGTTGATGATGAAGGAAAATTTACTTGTATTTTTCTTGAAAGCACCATTTCTTTTTATAAGCTCCAGAGGATTCTACTGGACTTGAAGATGATAAACCTGTATACCTGGAAGCTTTCACTGATTTTATCACTATGTTTCCAACACAATTCCAATACTTATGACATTCAATTTGCAAAATAAATCCACATGTAAGGAATTATTAACCTAATTTTGCCCATGAGAAGACTGAGTCAAACTTGTTCAAGGTCACAGTCGAAATGACCACCATATTGTGAAGCTGAAGGGATGAGTCTTCCATTGTTAGTTCAGTATTGTTTTAAATTTTCAACTCATATACAATATGGATTATATTATTTCAACACATTTATTCTTAGAAATAATAAAAATATTTATTCTTAGAAATAATAAAAATAATAAAAGGTCTTAGACTGCAGATCTTGTTCATATCAAATCTACTTAAATCATAATATAGCTGAACTATATGATAGCTCTTTTAACAATATGGACATTAGCCAAGTAGTATTCCATTTCTGAATCTCACTACTGGACATAGAAAGAGAATTCATCCATATTTTAATTTGAATACTTTTCTAGTTAAAAAAAAAAAAGTGCATTTTTCCCCCATTTCAATGCAGGTCCCTTTTGAAGGAACTAGTTAACTCTCATTTTTTTCTTAAATCTTGGGTCCTGTACTAAGCAATAAAAACTACTGATTGTGGTAACAATTATGATGGAAAATATTTACTTAAATGTTTCATGGAAAGTTAATTTTCATTTAGTGGCACAGAAATTAAAAGGCTTCTTCAGACTTGTTTCTTTATTAAGCAATTGACTTTAACTATTAAATGGTGATTTTCAATATAAAAAAAATCATACAATTTTCCAGAATATTAAAGTTTATTATTTTGAAAGCAAGGACATTTCTCTAGCAGAAAGAGCAATAAAACTTATCCATTAAAATTATCATAAGAAAATTCTATACTTTCAAATGTATCTGTTCAAAGCCATCACTCTAATGAGCTGCAAGGTTTTATTTTGCTTGATCAAAAAAATGACTTTATGATCTGTATTCAATCATGAACAGCTGCTCATTAATAAAAACCCATTAAAGTCCAAGTCAGAATAGCAGGTCTGAATTGTGCTTGAGCAGAGGGGAAAAAAAAAAAAAACCACACCTTTGGTGAAGAGCCAGGGAACTGGGTCTGAGGAAAATCTGTAAGCACAGAACTGTGTTTTCAAGGTCTGCTCCAACCTCCTAGGCAGGGTCAGTTGACCATATAGGAATCAGCACCAGCTGGAGAACTCAGAACAACAAAGACTATGCAGGCTTTGAAGAGGGAGACTAAGATGTGGCTTAAAAGCTAATAGCCCGAATAAATCAAACTGGAGATGGGCAGAGGCTGATCAGATACTTTAAAGTGGCTAGAATAGTTTGTGCACAGAGAAGGCAGAATTAACTATACCCCATGAATATAAGCAATCCAGAAAAATATCTTTCACTTACTAAGTTCTTTAATTTTCATTATTTTTTTTTCATAAACTAAGCTCTATCCTTTATGTTTCTCCCATTTGACATTTGGTACTGCCCTGCAGATGCTCCCACAGGTTTGGGCAAAGGACAAGACTGCACATTCCGAAGAGGTGATCCCCAAGCAAGATTCCAAATTACTGACATCCATAATCTCCAATTATGGGGTTACCACTCAACAAGTAAAGAAGACTTAAAAATATTCTCTCATAGGTATTTCTAATATAAAACTTGTTGAAATCCTTAGCAAGCTTTGTTGTTCTCTATTTGTTATTGTGTTGGGAAATAAGTATTCTGTAACTAGTTGTTTCTCCAGAAACATATCTTTGTTTTGTTTCATGTGGAACTGTCAAATTTAATAAAGAAAATTGTAGAATCATGAAAGAAAGAAAATGCCATGGGGCACATGAAGCCAAGATATAAGTCTTCAAGGAAAAAAAATGGAAATATTTATAACCAGGTGCATTGATGCATGTCTCTAATCTCAGCGGCTCCAGACGCTAAGGAAGGAGGATAGCAAGTTCAAAATCAGTTTTGTTAATTTAGTGAGGCCTTAAGCAACTGGGTGAACCCCGGTCTCAAAATTAAAAAAAAAAGAAAGAAAATAAAGAGAGATAGGGACTTGGCTCCATGGAAGAGCATACCTGGGTTCAATCCCTGGTTTAATTTTTGTTGTTGTTGTTGTTGTTAAGATTATTGGATTTGGGGAATCCAAAAAGTATTGGAAATTTCAGATTATTGGAATTTAGGCAAAATAAGATATAAAAGTTAGAGCAGGCAGTTAAGGGACTACAGAGAATTTCATGGATTTGGGGAAGTACAGTTAAAAAATGTAGTGTAATACCAGTAATGCAGTAACAGCTATTATCTGTGAATACCTGCTATGTGGTAACAGCTTTGCAAGCATTAGCAATCTATGAAGTAGGCACTATTGTGGCCATTTTACTGATGGGAAACTGAGACTAAGGGATTAAATAATTTATCTATGTTTACACAGAACCTGAGTAAGAGTTAAATTCACTTCCTTCCTTGGAGATAAAAATATTAATAGAAATGTGGAGTAGGTTGGAATGGGGAAGGTGGGGGAAGATTATTACAGAGATAAGTAGGTCAGTTCTGGGTCAGGGTGAGAGAACAAAGGTAGTAGTAGTTTTTTAAAAGGAGATATTTGAAGAAAAAAGCTAGTGTAGCAACAATTTGCATAAACTGTTTTCAGCCTTCGACAACACATATAAACTTCAAGCCTTCCTCACCAATCTGCAACAGTTTTCTCAGTGTCCCTTGCCAACAAGAGGAAAGAACTCCAGGTTTTTAAAGCATGGGATAAGAGAAAATACAGAAGGGAGAAAGAGAGGGGAGAAGGTGATGGTGGTAGTGCTGCGTGGGGGGAGTGGGTGGTGATTATTATTAATAATTATTAAATCAGGTTGCAAAGACAGAACAACTAAAAAGACACAACTTGGCAGAATGGCCAGCCCTGGTTGCAATAGAGGTACAAATGAAGGAACTCAGTGAAATATAACGTATTTACTTTCAGTTGCAGGATATTTAGGGGGCTGGGGTTGTAGATCAATGGTAAAGCACTTGCCTTGCACATGTGAGGCACTGGGTTCGATTCTCAGCACCACGTATTAAACAAATATATAAAATGAAGGGATTGTGTCCATCTACAACATCATATATATATATATATATATATATATATATATATATATATATATATATATATAAATTTAGTAAAAAAAAAATAAATAAGCGGAAGAGGCCAATGAATGAAACTCAGCATTTAGCATCCCTCAGGACTAGGCTCTGTCCTGGCCACATCCCAAATATGCTGGGACAGAGGGGGACGCTCTCATTTTCTGGCAAAATAGATGCTCCTTTCCTTAGTACCGTCTGGCATTGGGATTCTGTGGGTGGGACAGAAAAGAAAAGGGTTTGATTGGGAGGTACTGTACACACAAGGAAAGTAGAACAACTTAGCGCAAACCCAGGAGCTCCAGTGGAAAAGCCCACACAATTTACAACAGTCACAAAAACCCAGCCGTGACCAAACCTCCGCAGGCAGGCTGCTGCTCGCCCCGCCCCTCGACATTCATTGGCTTCCAGTTCCGACGCCAGACCCACAGCTTCTTGCCTATTGGACCAGACAGCACCTGGGGCGGGGTGCGGAAGTGAGCGCCTAGAGACAACCGAGAGCCGCCTTCAAGGAGGGCGAGAGGGAGGGGCTGGGGGAGGGTTTCCCGAAGAGGGGGCGGCCATGGCAGCTGCGCGGCGGCAACGGCGGCTGCGACGGAGCGCGCGCCCGGCTTTGAATGAGAGGGGCTGGGACTGAAAAGGCGGAGCGCGAGCTCGAAGAAAAGAACGGCAGCGCGCGCGCGCGCCTCGTGTGCGCGCGCGGCCCGCGGCAGCTCGGAGCCTCCGCCGGGCGGGGAGGGGGAGGGGCAGGTGAGTGTATTGGCTTGCGCGCGCCCGCGAGGGGCTTTCCTCTCCCAATCCCGACCTCGACCCCAGCCCCAGCCCTAGGGTGTCACCTGCCCTTCCCCGTCAGCCCTCTGTCTCGCCCCCCACTTCCCGCCCTCCCACCTTTCTTTGCGCCCCTCCAGCTCGCCTCCCCCCACGGCCGACCGCCGCTCTAGGGTACTGTTTCCGGGTCAGGGTGACCTCTGGGATGCGGGAAGCGCGACCAGGAGCCGGTTCGGCTTGTAACCCTTGCCATGGCGCGCTCACGCGTGGGAGAGGGGCCTGTGAGGCACCGGCCCGGAACACCCCCAATGGTGAAAGTCCCTTCTCGGGAGGGAAATTCGCCTGTCCTACCTGCCCTCTCTAGAGGCCTCGCACCTCTCAAGGCTGATTTCCCCACAGTCCACGTCCCAGCCCACCGGGCACCCACCTCCGGGAACCGCGAGCGTTCCACGTAACGCGGTGCGCAGGGCGTGGGACGTGTGACCTGAAAGCGCGCACTTTTTCTCATCTGTGCAGTGGGTATGATTTTCCCCCATCAACCAGTTTTAGGTGGGGGATCTGAAATTAAACCATTTTAGTTATGAAACTCAATTTAGACTTCTAGGAGACGTACCCCTTGCTAACAGTCCCAGTGGTGTCACATTGAGGGCCTGAACTTAACAGTTGCCACAGATGGTACAGAATGTTGGCTTTTACAGCCAGGTCTCACACTCCACTTCTGTTTCCGCTTTTCTTACTTGCTGCTACTGCTGAACCCTTCTTTTTCAAATTCAAGTGAGTCCAGGTAAATTTTATCTTTTTGAAGCTTTCCTTTAAGCTACTTTAGAGAATTACAGATTTAATTAGAGGATGTTTCCGTCTCTTACTTGATTATATGGTATTTCAAGCGTTGGTATGAAAAGATTCAGAAATGTAGTTTTGGAAATACAGCACTTGACGACTTGTTCAGTGTGTAAGAAACAGATTGGCTGGCTTGTTTAATGAATCGTGACAGAGTGGATCTACACCATGGGATTTCGAGCGGTTTATTGAGAATTACGAGAAGGAAAGATGTCTTTGATCTATCAGTTGCTGTTAGAGAGTACTTTTTATTGTAGGAAAAATGTTTTGACGCAGCAGAGCTCTCATTCCTTTTGATTTCCCAGAGATGCCATTATTTTCAAAAGCTCTGAAGATAAGTTGTTTCATAGTCCTGAAATTTACTTTGCTATATCTCAAGTTTCCGTATCTTCCTAGTAAGGAAAATTTAATAGGTTAATAGTATTGCTTAGTCCCAGAAAGTATTGTAAAGCAACCAAACTGCTAAGTGTAAGATACATACTTAATCAAATTTATTATTTCACGGCTTTTCAAAAATCATACTTGAAGCAATGGGTACAAAATTACAAGTTTTGGCATATGATGTGGAGAGAGCTGGGACTTGGGTTCATCAGTCTCTTTAAATCCTGGGTGCCTGATTCTGTGCCTCACTCACCCAGGCCAATTGTTGACCTCCATTTCCAATTGAAATGGGAATAGAGACACCAGCCTTTTTTGGTCATCATTATGATTCCAGTGAAGTGGAAGAACCTACATGGCCAAGAACTATGTCTTGAATATATCAGTGTTTCAAGAATGTTTATTTCTTTTCATTCAAGAAATATCTGAGTACCTACTATGTATTTGGCATTGTCTAAAACCTAGAAATATCAACTGAGCATCACTAATGGGGTTCTACCTCCTTAGCCCCTTTGTAATCAATAGGAGGAGTAAGTATGCATTCAAGTTCATGATAGTTTAGCAGCTAATGCAAGGTTTCTCTGTGCTGGCCTGGGAGTGTTTTCCAGTGTGCAATGTAGTGTCTGTTACACAGTAATATTTTTAGTCCTTTAGTTGATTTGTAACTTTAAGTAAATACAAGTCTAGAAGAATATTCCTGTCTGCAAATCAGGGTAATTATTAAAATCTGAAGTGTTGGTTGGTAGCTTGATTGCATTTTCCCATTTCATTGCAACTGTTTGGAAATTTTATCTTGGAAATTATAATATCTTCACTGAATTACTAAAAATGTTTATTTTTAGGGGAGTTATTCTTATTTAAGGCTTTTTGTTTGTTTGTTTTTTGGTTAGTCATCTTGTTTTGTGGTTCTGGGGATCAGACCCAGGGGTTCATGCCTGTGAGGCAAACACTTGGCCATTAAGCCACCTTCCCAATCCTTTGGTGATTTATTCTTGATTGCTGAATTAAGTCAGTCTAGGCTTGAATACAAGTCATTGGATAGGGAATATGGAAATGTCTTTACTCTCTGTGATTCAGTTCTATGAAATAAGAACAATAATATCTCATGATGGCTGGGTGCCATGGCACACACCTGTAATCACCAGCCTCAGCAACTTAGTGAGGGCCAAAGCAACTTGGCAAGACCTGTCTCAAAAAATAAAAAAGGATTGGGGACGTGGCTTAGTGGTAAAGTTCTCCTGGGTTCAATCCCTGGTACAAAATAAAACAAAACTTCACGATGGTTTTGTACATTACATGAGGTAATATTAAGATGATGATGGTCAATGACTATTAGTTCTCTTCTCTCACTAACCACAAAGCAAATTCTCCATAGAATGAGGTATTCTTAATTGCAATGGAAGGAATTCTATTCTTTAATCAGCAATAGTACAATTTTCTGTTTTTCTATTGGGAAAAAACTTCAAATTTTATTTCCTGTTACCGTTGGAATAATTCAAGTGGACAAATACTTATCTAATAATGACACCAACAGTATTTGTAGGAAGGTAATGGCTGTAGTTATCAAGCTCTATATGAAATTTGTTTTCATCTTTTTATCCATATATATTCTGAGATCAACCCTTGTTCCCATTACAAGGGTTGATCTCAGAATATATATGGAGTATCTCTTTGGTTTTCTTTTCTTTCTCACCAGCTGCCACATGCTTTAATCTTTCTATTAGCTGCCTTTTATATGTTTTTTTTTCTTAAAATTTCTGTTAAATTATCATTTGGGGAAGTTTGCTTTTATTTTAGTCGAGTTATATTGTTAACAAATCAGCTTGGAATTAAGCTCTTGCCATCTTATTCAGATCATTCTACTCATAATGAAGCAATTGAAACCTTTCAAGTTTTTGCAAAAAGTTAACTAAAGGTGCAGGTGAATAGAATCTTGTGGAGAAGAATTATGTAGGACAGGTAAGGGTATAATATAGTAATAACTATAGTACAATCTAGAAAATGTGGGTTTCTTAGAGAAAACGGAATTAAAAGACTTCACCTTAGTCCAGTAAGAGGTAAAAAAAGCTTTTGCCAGGAAAGAATATGGGCAATATTTGTAAATTTCAGTAAGGTCTTTTTGGCAGTTAGAATGTAAGCCAACATGAGAGAAAAGGAGTTGATATTGTTTTAATTTTAAATGTTGGTAAACCATTGGTTGAAAATGTACTTGGCAGAAGTATTTAAATAACATGAGCAGTGAAATTTGTAATAATCTAGTTTACTTTAGGAGTCATTGTTGTTTCTAACTTCTCAATTAGTAGGCCCTCTCTAGCACAGACTTTAAGTAAATCACCTCATGATGAGACAGCTTCCATATATATAAAAATATATGAGCATTGCTTTGGGATTCTTTTGGAGCTCTACCAAAAGAATTGATACATTTGATACATTTGATAGTCTATAAGCTCCTTTTTAGCCCTGGAAATAGAAAGAACTAGCTGTATGTTTTGTTTTTCTTAGAGCTGTCAGTAATGGCTCTAGAGAGCAATCAAGATCAGGTACCATGAGAACTAAGTCTATTTTCCTTGCTTTCTGGTTTGTTTTGTGTGTTGTGTGTGTTTTGAACTTTTCTGTTGAGGTCTAACATATAAACTATACATATAGTAAAGTAAATATTGGTATTACCACCCAGGTTGAGATGAAGATCTTAATCTCCTAATGCTCCCATGCTCCCTCTCAGAGATGACCATTAATTTTTATTATTAAAATTTTAAACCATGCAAGGAAATATTATGTTAGTTTAGAAAACATTATTATATGCTGTTTTCAAGAACTTAAGAGATTACTGTTTATGTAGGTAGAATATCCTTTATCCAAAATACATGGGACCAGTATTTTAGATTTTAGATTTTGTTTGGGGAGAGAAAGAAGGTTGGAATCTTTGCATACACAAAATGTAATATCTTGAGGATGAGAACCATGTTTAAACCTAAAATTAATTTGTTTCATATATACCTTATATGCATCGTCCAAGGGTAATTTTGTGTATTAAATAAAATATTATGGTGAAATTTCTATGTGGCACTCATATCAGATTTAAAACTTCAGATTAGAGATGCTCAACTCACATACTAGTAATTAAAAATGAGACAGTGCTCTCTGCTTTAATTCCTATGAATTAGTTTTAAAACAGCATGTTATTAATAGTATAGGATTGGTATTTATATAGGAATTTAGTCCTTGTTATTTTTATGGATATTATTGCTTATCTTATATAAAGTAATTTCAAAAAATGAATCAGCATTTCAGTTTGAGGAGAAACATATAGCTGTCTCTTTAATGTGCTTACATGATAATTGTTATTTAAGTTTTGGTTTCATTCCCTTTTAAGTAAATTTGTATAGAACTGAAGTCCAAATTATATTATTTTTTTATTTGGGGAAAAAACATTAAAATTTTTTTATTTTTCCCCTTGTAGGAAATCACTACTTCAAATACTCCTATTGGCCAACTAATTATTTCTAAAGATGTTAGTAATGGACTGGGAGACCAGTGATTTTTAGTTATGACTAAACTATGCTTTAACTTGAGTACCACAGTTAACTTCTTTTTTCCTCGCTTGGGAAATTAAGAACTTGGATGACATATATTATCAAGTTAATCCAACACAGGAATCATGGTTCTAAATGTGTACTCAGTAATGTTCCTCCTGATAAAAGACAAGGAAAAGCTAAAATATGAAATTCCATTATCAGAAACATTTCCTGTGTGTATACGTGTGTGTGTATATGCCTGTGTATGTCTTGTGACTTGATTTAATGTGTGATCTCCTCCTCAATAGTGGAAAAAGGCTGTCTCCTGTGCATTAACAGATTTTATTTGCCTTTCTCCTCTTTTGCGTTTTTTGAGGCCCTGAATAGGAGTATTCAAGATTACTTAATTAATTTAGTCAAATTTAATTTGTGCTAAAATTCATTTTATGTAATCTTAAAATAAATAGTGACTATTAAGGGAATATATGCAATACATATATGGTATAGTTGACTCCGATGTGTAAAGAAATATGTGAAATCAATGACCATATTTAAAAGGCTGGCAAAATAATACCGGTTTTACTGTTTTTTAGAGTTTTTCTATTGCTATAGGTTTAATTAGTTTTCAGTTCCTGTAGCATTTCTATTATATATATAGTATATATTTATATATTATGTCTTTATTTAATTGCAGTGGGGAGGGACTATGAGTGTGATCTGTAAGGATTCAGACTCTGGAAATTAGGTTCAAATCCTAGTTCTGGATTTTATCAATTCTGTGACTTTGGCCAGGTTATTTGACTCCCTTGTACTTCAGCTTCCCTATCTAAAATAGGGATCAAAAGATTTGTTTCAAGTCCTTCACAGTGATATTGTGAGTATTAACTGAATTATACCATGTAAAGCATTTAAAAATGCTTATTCTATAGTAAGAGTTAGTATAGTGTATTGAAATCTATTGTGAAATTAGAGTTCCTAGATAAATCTGGAAATGTGTTTATTACTAATTGCCATAGTTTCCTAATGGAAATTGGCTCTCCAGAAAGAATAGCAAATAATAAATATAAGATAATGTTAAATTTTTGAGTTTCAAACCACAATTTGAAAAATTTTCTAATTTATATGGTATAATGTTGTCCAAAAATGTCTCAGTATAGACTGTTTTGAGAGCTTGTATGAGCTATAATTGAATTATAGAAATTGCACTTATCGTATGATTCGGTTAGTTTTGATGGATAAATACATGTCTCTGAAGCTGTCACCACTTTAAAAATATATGTATTATCTCTGAAATATTCTCCTGCTCCTCAGTAATCTATCCTTCCCACCTCTCCCTGCCCTATCTGAAAGCACTAGTGTTATGCTTCCTGTTATTATGTACTTGTTTGCATTTTCTAGAGTGTTTTTTTAAGTATATAGAATCATACAGTATATATTTTGGGGGGATATCTTTATTTTGGTATAATTATTCTGAGACATATTTATGCTATTACTGTAACAATAGCTCATTCATTTTTATTGTTGAATGTATATATACCACAATTGGTTCATTTACCTGTTGATATACAGTTAGGTTGTTTCTTGTTTAGAACTATTAAAAATAAAGCTGCTATCAAGTAAAATTCTTTGTATGGGCATGTCTTTTATTTATCTTGTGTTTTTCTTTATCTATGTTTGTTTTTATTCATCTTATGTTTGTTTGAGTTTGTAAGAAGTTAAGAAAACTTTGTACCATTTTACTTTCCCACTACTGATGTGGGAGAGTTCCAGTTGCTCTACATCCTTGCTGGTATTTGGTATGGTCATTATTTTTAGTTTAAGCAATTCTAATTAGGTGTGTAAGTAGGTTCTAGCTGTGTTTTTAATTTATATTTCTATGATAATTAATGATGTTGACCATCATTTTATGTATTTATTTTTAAATAAAAATCTAAAATATCTTCCTATTCTAGAGTCACAAATTTTTTTTTACCACTTTGTAGCTTCAGATTTTACATTAGGTCTATGATATTTTGAGTTATTGTTTGTTAATGGTGTGAGATATAATCAAAGTTTTTTGTTGTTGTTTACATATGAATACCCAGTTTTTCCAGCACTATTTGTTGGAAAAATTATCCTTTTCCCCTGAACTTTTCTTTTCATCTTTGTCAAATTTCAGTTCATTTTTATCTGGGTCTGTCTCTGTACTTTTCATCCATCTATTTGTATATATTGACTCCAGTTCTATACAGTTTTGTTTATTGTAGTTTTATAACAGGTCTTAAAAATCTGGTAGTGTTAATCCTTGAACATATTCTTTTTCGGTTTTTTTTTTTTTTTGCAATTATATGTTCTTTGCATTTCCATATAAGTTTCAGAATTAACTTGTCAACTTAGAGAAAAAACCTACAGAGATTTTCATTTGGATTGCATCTAATCTAAAGATCAATTTGGGGAGCCTTGATACCTTAACAATATTGAGTCTTCCCACCCTGAAAAAGTCTTTTTAAATTAATGCAGGTCTTTTAAATTTCTCTCAGCAATACTTGGTCGTTTTTGGTGTGCAGATCTTTCATTAGAATTGTCCCTAGGTATCATATTTATTGATGCTCTACACAGTTTTTCCTGATTGTTGTTAAATATAACAATACAATTGATTGTAGAGTTCACAAATTTTCTTCATAGACAGTTTTCTTGCTTTCTAATTGAAACCCCTTCCCTTCCTTCCTTTTTTTTACTTTTGCCAGAACCTCCCCTACAGTGTTTAGTAGAAATGGTATAAGTGGAACATACTTGAGTTGTTCATGATTTTAGGGTGATGGGTATAGTTTTTACACATTTACTCTCATATTTCTGTAGGTTTTTTTTTAAATACATATATAGATGTTGTTAACCAGGTTGAGAAAGTTTCTTTCTATTCCTAGTTCTTCTGAGTTTTTATCAGAAATGGATGTTGAGTTTTGTTAAAGGGCTTTTCTGTTTCTACTGAAATGTTTTTCAGTATGCTAATATCATGAATTATTTTTGATTTTTGAATGTTAAATCAGTCCTGCAATCTGAGCTGAGCTCAACTTGGTCATGATGCAGTCCTTTTATGTATGGTTGTATTCAATTTACCAGTATTTTGTTAAAGCAGTTTTGCCTTCTATATTCTTAAGATATTAATCTCTATTTTTTACTGGTAATGTCTTTGTCTAGATTAGTATCCATGTAATGCTGATATCAAATAATGAGTTGGGAAATATTCTTTTTCAGTTTTTTGTCAGTTCCTGTGAAATTGGTATTAAACATTCTTATATGGTACAACTCAATAGTGAAGCCATCTAGACCTGGAAGTTTTTAAAACTATAAATCAAACTTCTTTATTAGATATGAGATTTTTAGGTTGTCTATGTCTTCTTGTACTTTGATATCTTAAATGGAATTTACTTGTTTCTTCTCATTTGTAAAATATAGTCATAATGTTGCTTATAATGTTTTCTCATTATCCTTTTAGTATGTGTTAGCCCTAATTATGTAATCTCTCTCACAAAAGATACTGGCAAAATTTTTGACATGTTTTGTATTAAAATGTACTTATGATTGAGTGGCCCCTTTATGATTGTCAAATGACTTTTATACCTGGTAATATTGCTTTCTGTAAAGTCTTATTTGACATTGAAGTAGTCCTATCAGCTTTCTTTTGATTAGTGTTAGCATAGTATAGTTTCACCATCCTTTTAACATATTTATATCTTGATATTAAAATGCATTTCTTGTGGGCCACATATACTGGGGTCTTCCTTTTTTATTCAACGTAGCAACCTCTGCCTTTTTGTTGGAATGTTAAGTAATTTGCAGTTATCATCTTGCAATTTATTTTCAAATTTTCTTACTGTCATTTGTTCCTCCTTCCCTTGTTTTTTTGTTGTCTTTTCTATAGAATAAGTTTTTATCTCTCTTATTAGCTTATTGGCAGTGACCAGACTTTATCCTTCATAAAATGATTTAATTTGCTTATTAAGGGATAGGCCTAGGTATCAATATTTCTTTGACCAGATCTCCAGATTTGTGAACCACTGTACTAGATGAGCTCTTTGGTTACTTTTTAATTCATAAACTATGGGACTTAATTCAGTTTCAATTTATAAAATGGATATAACAAAATCTACCTGAAGATTAAAGTGTTTAATTTATTTCGAATAGTGCTATATTCATATAGTTAAAAATTCTAGAGGTACAAAAAGATTTAATATATACTTATACTTTTTTTAATTCTAAAATTGTAAGTAAATTTGTGCTAAATAGATTATTTAAGCAAAATTATTTTTAAAAAGTGTTAAAGGATTTTTTCACAAACTAAAAAACTCTTTAGAAACCTAATTTCTAAAGCTGTTAATATTATTTACACTTTAATAAAATTTATTGTGTTATATTTGTAGCTTCTAGAGAAAAGTTAAAATATGTAAGTTTTCTCAGTGCATAAGTACTTTTCAACTTGATTTAAGAACAGGAATATGGTGTATGAAATCATCTAATGCTTTGGGTATATGTACCTTTTTTTTTTTTTTTTTGAAGGTTTTAATTCTCATCATGGCTATCACTCAGTTTCGGCTATTTAAAGTTTGTACCTGCCTAGCAACAGTATTCTCATTCCTAAAAAGATTAATATGCAGGTAAGTAAATTTTATATTCAAACTGACCTGTTTATCTTCTAACTAGTTTTGAATTCCTTTATAACTTCAGAAATGTAGAAGAGATTCTGTTTACACTCTCTTGATTGTGATATTTGTTCATTAATTTCTAGTATTTTAAAAAATATTGTTTTTCTATTTGAGATCTAGAAAGTGAAGTTAATTGTTTTTGTTTGTTCAAATTCTTAAATCTTCCATTTAAATAACATGCTTAATACTATAGAATTTTAGAAATAAGCAGGCTGACTTTCATTATTATAATCATCACAGAAATTTTATGTAATGTTTTATTATTGGAATGTTTTAAGGTGGTTCAGTGAAATTAGGCATAGGTATTTCTGGCTATACTAATATAGGAATGTTGTTTTGTATTAGTAAAAAAATTTAACAGAGACCCTAAATTAAATAGATTTTTTTATTTCTTAAATAATATTCCAAAATATGCAGGTGGTCCAAAGCAGGTAATTTATTCAGCATCAGTAGGTTATCCATTATCTATAAATTCCAGTTCCTTCTCTATGTCACATGAACATACCCTAGAGCTATGCCTTCTAACCCATGTGCTAAGGTGCCACAGAGCTTCTTATAGGGTGCTACAAAATATTTTAAACTTCAGTGAAACATAGTGATATAGTACCTGTTGAATACTGCATGAATTCTTCACTCAAGGTAGTTTCTATTTGCAGCATGACATCCAGCAGCATTCTAAACTTATGATGGGTCGCTTTTAACACTGAAAACAAATTTTTGTTTACTTGTATGTTTGGTGAGGTATCTTTGCAAAGTTAGGTTTTTAGGTTGTAATTAAAATCAATACTACACCAAAATAAATGTAGAGCAGAAAATGAAGGTGGCAATGCCTAATTTAATTAAATGCTTGAGAAGCTACACAGTGTCCAACAGGCATACACATTGCATTAATAAGGAATTTTATTTCATTAAAAATAAAACTACATTTTCTTTAAATTTATGTGTATTGTTTTTCTCAACTGACTTTTTAATGGTAGCTAAGCACTTTGGACCTATATAAGTATTAAGTTGTTTGTGTCTGACTGGTTGGTTAATCAGAGGAACAGTTGATATTTATTTTGGCTTAGGAGTACTGTGAAAAAAATTACTGACACACTAATAATAAAGTGGAATAAAATAGGAAGTGTATGATAATCAGCTGTCTTTTTAGTAGATAGATTTAGAAGTTGCACACAACAATTCTGTTCCCACTGTCTGGAGTTTAGCTATATAGATAGCCATCTAGATCCAAAGGAGGCTGGGAAATATAATATTTAGCTAAATGGCCATTTGGTAGCTGCTAAAAGAATTAAGTGCCATTGAATTTATTGGTAGAAGTAGAGTGGTCTGCAATTGAGGAAAAACGTATTGCTGTGGGAATGAGATGATGAAATAGAGCTTATCACTACAAGAGAAATAAAAAAAGAAATGGAAAATTTAGGTGGTTGACTGTTGAAATCACCCAAGAACACAGGATTTGGGAATTAGAAAAAACAGTGAACGAAGTACTCAAGTTATCAAGAATAAAGGAGAATGGGTGAGAAATTCACTATGTAAACCAGAATAAGAATGAATATTAATTACCAGAATGTTAAAAGAAGCATTGTATTAACACTGTGATGAATTGTAGGTGTTTTCTTTTTGTATTTGCACTTTCTAAAAATTCTGGTCAATATCAATTAGTTTTAGAATAAGAAACTGCATTTGATTTTAACTATTAAGGATTTTCCTATTATCACTATAAATTTCTGTGGTCAATATAAATATATTTAGGATTAATTATATGTTCAGTTTTAATGAAAACCAACTCTTTGTTAAGATAAACCTCTTTTAAATGTCAAAAAGAACATAGATTATGTGTTATAAAACACCAGGCTTTTGTCATAAATTTTGTAATGGACTATAGTACTTCTGTATTAATTCTTTAAACAAATAATGTATAACTTCTAAACTTGATAAATGTCTTTACCAATTAACACTAAGTAGATAGTTTATAGATTACTTGAAATTAAGCAAATGACTAATTGTTTGTTATAGCTACCAGAGTTTTTGAATGCCTTTCTGTGTAGCAGGCACTGTGTGGCTTTAAACATGTCAATTAAATCTTCACAACAATCTTACAAAAGCAGGCTTGAATACCTGCATTTTACAGAGGGTATTGGAACTAAGAGGTTACTTCTATTGAGAAGTAACATTGCAAACCATAGTTTACACAGATTCCAAAGCCCACCTTCCCAGTAAAGTGTCTGGAGCCCATTTCCTTAACAGTTGAGTAACAATACGTCCAATTAATGTAGTACTTTTTCTATTAATCATTAAAACTCAGTTTATAATTTAGTTTAATCTAGTGATTTTCAAACTTAATAGTTAGTCTTACCAAGAACTCAGTATGTAAAACATAAAAAGCCTATCCACATGCTGATAATAGCATGGATGGCCCAGAGCTTCATCTATAGAACCTATAGCACTCCAAGGAGCATGGTTTGAAACTACCTTGTATCTTTGTTTTTGACTTTATATTTCTCCTTAATTTATAATTATGAGTCCTAAATCCGAAAAGCAGCTGTTTTTGTAAGATTTTAAAGAGATTCACAAGATCTGTGATTCATGCTTTTTATTTTCCTCATAGCTTGATGAGCAATAGTTAATTACTAAAATCAATAATTATAAGCCTTAAATTACTGTCTATAATGCTTTTCACCTCTTCTTATTTTGTTCTTGAAATAAATTGTTTCATGGATTATTTCAGATCTGGCAGAGGAAGGAAATTAAGTGGAGACCAAATAACTTTACCAACTACAGTTGATTATTCATCAGTTCCTAAGCAGGTAAATCTTTTTTGAAAAATTGAATGTATTACAGAACAAGAATTTTCCTGGATTGTATACCATTAGGTCATAATTTAGTAGTTGAGTTTTTTTGTTGTTGTTCTGTATTTTTCAGTTCTAAAATCTCTAATTGATTCTTCATTTTATCTTCTATTTCTTTGCTGACATTTTCTATTCTTTCTAGTGGTTTCAAATGTTTGCTATGACTTTTGGAGCACTTTTACATTTCAAAGTCTTAGATAATTTTCACATTTACATCATTGAGGAATTGGCATCTATTAATTAATTTTTCATATGAATTGAGATTTATTGATGCCACATATGATGAATAATAAATTCTGGATTGTTTTATGAACATTTTGAATGTTATATTTTGGGACTGTCTTATTTAAATTCTGCTGAGAATGTTGGGGTTTTTTTTTAGTTTTATTGATTTTTTTTAAAAATATACACAACAGCGGAATGCATTACAGTTGTTATTACACATACAGAGTACAATTTTTCATATTTTTGTATATAGAGTATGTTCATGCCAATTCATGCCTTTATACATGTACTTTTTTGCATTACAAATAATTAAACATATATATCACAATTTTTCATATCTGTTTATAGATAAAGTATGTTGACACCTAATTGGAGTTTTCGGATTATGAAGTCTTGGATAATGAAGTCCATCATATTCCACCGCCTTTACTAATCCCCTGCCCCCTCTTTTCCCTCCCATCCCTCTTCCCTATCTAGAATTCATCGAATCTTCCCATGTTCCCCCTCCCTACCCCACTATGAGTCAGCCTCCTTATTATCAGAGAAAACATTAGGCATTTGTTTTTTAGGGATTGGCTAACTTCACTTAGCATTATCTTCTTCAACACCACCCATTTACCTGCATATGCCATGATTTTATTCTCTTTTAATGCTGAATAAAATTCCATTGTGTATATATACCACATTTTTTTAATCCATTCATCCACTGAAGGACATCTAGGTTGGTGCCACAGTTTAGCTATTGTGAATTGTGCTGCTATAAACATTGATGTGGCTGTGTCCCTGTAGTATGCTGTTTTTAAGTCCTTTGGGTATAATCCAAGGAGAGGGATAGCTGGGTCAAATGGTGGTTCCATTCCCAGATTTCCAAGGAATCTCCATACTGCTTTTCAAATTGGCTGTACCAATTTGCACTCCCACCAGCAGTGTATGAGTGTACCTTTTTCCCCACATCCTCTCCAGCACTTATTGTTATTTGTCTTCATAATACCTGCCACTCTGACTGGGGCGAGATGATATCTTAGAGTAATTTTTATTTGCATTTCTCTGATTACTTATTACACAGACAGAGTACAAGCATTTTATAAGAAATCATAAGCATTTTTTCATATATTTGTTAATTGATTGTATATCCTCTTCTGAGAAGTGTCTGTTCAGGTCCTTGGCCCATTTGTTGATTGAGTTATTTGGGTTTTTTTGGTGCTTAGCTTTTTGAATTTTTTATATATCCTAGAGATTAGTGCTCTATCTGATGTGTGAGGGGTAAAGATTTTCTGTAAGATACTTGGGAATCAACTTAACGAAAGAGGTGAAAGATATATACATGAAAACTACAGAACCCTAAAGAGAGAAATCAAAACCTTAGAAGATGGAAAGATCTACCTTGCTCTTGAATAGGCAGAATTAATATTATCAAAATGACCATACTACCAAAAGTACTATACAGATTTGATGCAATTCCGATCAAAATCCCAGTGGCATTCTTCAAAAAAATTAAAAAAGCAATCATGAAATTTATCTGGAAAAATAAGAGACCCAGAATAACTAAAGCAATCCTTAGCAGGAAGAGCGAAGAAGATGGCATCACTATACCAGACCTTAAACTATACTGCAGAGCAGTAGTAACAAAAACAGCATGGTATTGGCACCAAAACAGACTGGTAGACCAGTGGTACAAAATAGAGGACACAGAGACTAACCCACAAAATTACAGTTATCTTATATTAGACAAAGGTGCCAAAAACATGCATTGGAGAAAAGATAGCCTCTTCAACAAATGGTGCTGGGAAAACTGGAAATCCATATGCAACAAAATGAAATTAAACCCTTATCTCTCACCATGCATAAAACTTAACTCAAAATAGATTGAGGACCTAGGAATTAGACCAGAGACTGTGTGTCTAATAGAAGAAAAATCTTTATCATGTGGGATTAGGCCTCAACTTCCTTAATAAGATTCCTATAACACAAGAATTAAAACCAAGAATCAATAAATGGGATGGATTCAAACTAAAGTTTCTTCTCAGCAAAAAGAACAATCTGTGAGGTGAACAGATGTTTTATTTTATAAAGTAATCAGTTTGGTTAGACTTAGATGGAAAGTTCCAGTCCTCCTCTTGTGAGCTATACTCCTAATGTTGGTTCAGTTTTCAGAGTATTTTCTTTTTCTTTTTACTTTGTGTTTTGTTTTTAATGGAAAGAATAGAGCAAAATAGAACAGAACAGAATATTTTAGAAGGTTTACCCATAATAAAAGTACTTAAACATCTGTTCTATTTTTCAAATATTTTTTTTAGGTGTAGTTGGGCACAATACCTTTATTTTATTTATTTATTATTATGTGGTGCTGAGGATCAAACCCAGTGCCCTGCATGTGCTAGGTAAGCACTCTGCAGCTGAGCCACAACCCCAGCCTCAATATTTGTTTTAGTTTTGGTATGTGAATTGAACTATGTAGTTTCCCATGGGTCAAAAAAGTTTGAAAACCAGTGTTTTCAGAAGCCCATTTTTCTAATAAATGATTAATGAACTGCTGAGTGCATTGCCCCTTTGTGGCTGACTATGTTGGTTATTTAGACAGATGTGGAAGAGTGGACTTCCTGGGATGAAGATGCACCCACAAGTGTGAAGATTGAAGGAGGGAATGGGAATGTGGCAACACAACAGAATGCTTTGGAACAAATGGAACCTGACTATTTTAAGGACATGACACCAACTATACGGAAAACTCAGAAAGTATGTTAAAGATTTGCACTTTTAAATTAGACAATATAATATAATTAGTATTTATTGAAAAGCCTACTTTTCATTATAATTTTATTTTCTGTTACGTTAAATAAGAATTTCCTATGTTCAGATGACTTAGATCTAGATGTAGTAAGTTATATCCTCAAGACTTTAAAATCATACATTGGTATTTGATTTACAAATCACGGACATTACCCATTGACATCACACTATAGTAAATGAAGATTTATTTCAAATTGTTCTTATTTCTTCTAACTCCTTCATATATTGCAATCTTATTTCACACTTGTATTTCAGATAAGCACACTTTTAGTGCTTCATTTCTTATTCAATCCAATAAGGAAACTTTTTCATATATATATATATATATATACGTATATATATATATATATATACGTATATATATATATATATATATACGTATATATATATATATATGTATGTATGTATATGTATACACTTTATAAAATGAGGACATTATTTATTCTCCACTTCCTACTGCAATTCCTCACTCTCTTCTACCTATCTAATTTTAGCTGTACATTTATTTTTATATTATCTAGGTTAATAAAATTTATATTCTCCTTTTTGAATTGTCCAAATGCTCAAAACTGAAAAGCATTAAATTGTGTATTTTTCAAAGATCCTTTAAGTGTCTTAGTAGATGTACACTTTGTATCATGGAAGTATATTGCTGTTCTTTATAATAATTTAGTATATTTATTATAATAGTACTTTTTAAAATTAATTAGATTGGAAATGGTTTTAATAAAAGTAACCAAAACTCAAGTAAGAGTGTCTTACTACTACTACTGACACAAATGAGTTACTGTATTTATAGCTAGCCCACATGTTGAGGGATCTGGTGATACTTTTAGCAGGACATTATCAATGCTATTATTTAATATAGTAATTAAATATCCTGATTATATTTTGGAGTTCTGGGGAAAGTGAACGAGGAAAAATGGAGATGAGAATTTTTTATTTTTAAGGAGTAAAATAAAATTTTTCTTAGATTGAACTGATCTATGTGACAGTTGTCTGAGAATTTGGATACTCACTGTAGACTTTTTTTTTTACATTAAATTTTTTTGAAAAAGAACAACAGCGTATTTTTTAATTACATTAATTTTTTTTAAAAAAAGAACAGCATATTACAAAATGCATTGGGACATTTATTTGTCTATTTTTATATAGTTCTGTGTAAAATATCCCTATCTTATTTCAACTAATCTTTCAGATCATCATTAAGAAGAGAGAACCATTAAATTTTGGCGTCCCAGATGGTAGCACAGGTTTCTCCAGTAGATTAGCTGCTACACAAGATATGCCTTTTATTCACCAATCTGTAAGTATGTTAATTAGCTAGAGGGAAAGACTTGGTTCTGTTTCTTTTTTCTGTAAGGAAGAAGAAAATAACTAAATGAAAATAATATTTATAATTTTTATGAGTTTGAAACAGATTTAGCAGTTTGCAAGAAGTTAATCTGTAGTTTCACCATTTCTATCATTTTATGGGAGTACAAATTACTCAAATACTAATATCAGGATCCCATTGTATACATGAAAGATACAGACAAAATATGTTATTTAAAAACATGGACTTTAGGAGGTTATTTCTAAGATAATAAACCTTTATAGCAGGTTAATTTTAAGTGAGTTATGGATTGTTTCCCTAGTAGAGTTTATTTACATTTAAAATGTGGTTTCATTTAAAATATATTTTATGTAAATGAAAATTTTAAAAGAAAAGAAGTAGTGAAGACTATGGACAACTGAGGCTCTCAACCTTGGGAACATTATTAGAATCAGTTTTAGAATTTGTAAAAAAATACATATACTTAGGTTCCTCCCTAAACTTAAGGATGGTTTGATTGATTATATTAATTACCTGTTGTTGTGTATTGACCCCAAATGTAGTGACTCGAAACAATAATAAACATTTATTATCTCATAAAGTTTCTGTGGATCAGGAGTCCAGAGTGACTAAATTAGATGGTTCTGGCTCAGGGTTTTTAATGAGTTTGTGAATAAGTCGTTGCACTAGGGCTACGATGGCTTGACTGGACTTAGAGGATTCATTTCAAAGGAGTCTTTCTTACATGCCTGGCAAATTAATGCTACTTGTTTGCACAAAGCCTCAGTTCCTTCCCATGAATTTCCTCATGCCATAACTGCTGATTTTCCCAGAACAAGTAATCTGGAGAGGCAGAAAATGAGTGTGTGTTTTTTGAGGCTGTTTTTTCTAGCAGATCCATGTTTATGCATGTTTTGAATTCATTGATCAACAGCTATTCTTGCTAATACCAGACTCTGTGCTAGATGCTAGTAATACAGTGGTAAGCAAGCAGAACAGGCAGGGTCTTTGCCTCAGAAGGATATATTCTAGTGGGGGAGACATAATATCAAATAATTAATTATATACACAATATACACAAATGTAATTATGAATTTTGATAACTCCTGTGCAGTTACATGATATAATAATGTCATAGATATTTTAATGAGAGCATAGTAACATCACAGATATATCTCTGAATAACATAGCATTATAATATTTAATTTTGTACATTTCTCAGTTTTAAACTTTATTATTCATATTGGCAAAGTGGTTTAGTTCTAACCAGAGAATTAATAATGTTTACTGCCTAACTATAATTCTAATTCTAATTACAATTGTTATAATTCTTATAGAGCTCATTGTAAAGTTGAAAATATACAACCATTTGGAGAGTGGAGAGTGTGGTACATAGGGTAGATGAAAGAGTTCTCCAATGCTATTGTTACATATTTTTTTTCCAAAGCAGACATAGTCAAGGGGAACTGATTGCATAGGAAAGAATACTAACCAACTGGACTTTGTTCTCTACACCAAAATTATCTTAGAATGTTCAGTTTAAATGAAGACTGATTTATAAAATTAATGAAATTTATCATTTGTATTATGGGAATTCTTTTTATACTAAGAATATCAACTTTTTTCTGTCTTTTATGCTTTTTCAGTTCTTAACTATAATTTGGTTTGATGGTTTTTGATGGGCAGATGAATCTAATTTTTGTGTAGGCAAATCTATCTAATCCTTTTCAATCTTTTCTATTTTACTTGGAAGGCCATCTCTATTAATATGATCTTGATACTTTTACTTTTCTTATATCTAAATGTTGTACCTATACTAATAGTCAAAATACCTCAGTTGGAAAAATTGGGAAATAGTATGAAGGTAAAATTTGCAAATAAGAAATAGACATAACCTAAAAACATGAAGAAAAGTTTGATCTGATTCTCAAAGAAATTCAGAGTAAAATGACAAGACACCTTTTTAAGTTTTATCAAATTAGCAAATGTAGAAAAGAAGGCCATTATCAGTATTGACAAAGGTATAAGGAAACCAAGACTTCTACCAACTGCTGTGAAGAGGATTAAGTAGGGACAACTTTTCAAGAGTGTCATCTATATTTTGTTTCAGTATCTTTAAAAACGCTTCTTTTGTGTTAACTGCTTTATTTCTATAAACATACCAAACAGATAATCAGAAACATTTTAGGAATATTTAACAGGATGTTATTGTTTTTATTATCAAGGGAAGAAATTCAAAAACATTTTTTTTTAAACGGGGTAAGTATTCAAAACAATATTATCAATTTGCAGTTTGTTACCAGTGAATACATATTATCACTTCCACACCTAACATCTCAGTTTTATTGGTTCTTGGAAGACTGAGGGCATTGAGGGGGTGGGAGGAAAACTTTTAGAGGTTTGAATTGGGGAATAGTAGAATTTAGTGACGAGCCTGATGATATCAGCTATGTAGAGCAGAAAAAAGGAAGAAATAGTATTCTAGGTAAGATAAATTTTTCCTGATTTGAAATTTTTGCCTAAGACAGAGATAGTAAGTGGAACTGAACAAATCTACTAATTACAGAATTACATATGCTTGGGTGAAGATGACTATGCTATTTTGGAAACTACTCCATATAAAATAGTATCTTGTAAAACAATATAGGAAGAAAACTGAACTTGCCCAAGACTTTTTAGCACTGAAAGTCCTGTAACTTCAGGAAACTCAAAAGTTCTAGGCAACTCAAGGCCCAGATCATTTGTGCTTTGTAGAAGACATGGTAAAGAAGTTCAGAAACCACAGGAGAGTGAAAGGTTTTGAATGTTTTAGAAGATAGATACTCTTGTCTGCTGTGTGGAGAAAAGATGGCTCTGCATTGTCTTAATTTTGCTTCGTTTTTAATTTAGTCTGAATTAGGTGACTTAGATACCTGGCAAGAAAATACCAATGCATGGGAAGAAGAAGAAGATGCAGCCTGGCAAGCAGAAGAAGTTCTGAGGTATTTGAGTGATATTTATATCACAACCTGAGTAGTAGATTTGTTCCCCATTGTGTTTAAGATCAAGGAGGCCTGTTCTGTCAAATGTCTGTCTTATCTTCATTTTTCCTCATTTAATCTTAGATATCCAACATGAGCTTATTCTGTATCTCAGACTGCATACACTATTTTGTAATGATACCAAAAATTAAAGCTTTATAGAAATAAAATAATATAATTGTATTAAGAACAAGGGAAATCTTTTACATACAAATAACTTTTGTAATCATTATGTTGTACTATGAAATGTGAACTACCACTGTATATTTTTTGTGGGTCAGAATTGATTACTTTTTTTTAATATCCTCAAGGTTTAGTGTAGTGAAAGCTCTTGAACATAGTAGAGACGTTATAATCTGCCTATCCTACAGAAAAGTAAATGCCATTCTGAGGGTTTAAAGTTCATTTTTGTTGATGGTTCTTTGTTTTTGTGAGCAGTAAATTGAGTTCTTGTTATTTCTATATTAGGTCAAAGAGTGAAAAGAAAATTATCTTAAAGGAGAGCTTATGATTATGATCGATAATTAAAACTCATTTAAATGTACTTATCTACCATGCGGCCTGCGCAATGGTTTCATTAATGAGGTTCTAGGCATAAAGTTAGTTAGAAGAGATCGAAATAAAACACACAGATTCAGTTACCTTATTTCTATTGCTAGGTCCAAGATGGCTCCCCTCTCTGGTTCGCTCCTCTAGCCGCCCAGCAGGGCAGCAAGGATTACTCAGGGCTAGCAGGAGAGAGCGAACACGCCGGGGACTAGCCTTTTATTGGGGAGCAAGAGATTCAGGGCAGAATTCCATCCAATGAAGGTTGAGGGTGGGGGCTGCATTCCAAGGTCAGGGTCAGTGATTGGGTCCCCGGGGTCAGTGGTCAGGCACACCCCCACACGGATAGGCTCTCTCATCAGGAAAGGGCCAGGAAAACTTCGATACAGCCAAAGTGCCTCAGACCCTTAACAGGAGTCACCTAATCACGTGTTAGAATGGCTTCCCACATACTTAATTTACTTATGCATTTAAAAATACATAATAAGCTACAGTGGGTTTTTTTGTATTTTGAAATTCAGATTGTTTTTATCATAGGGACAGAAAATGAATTATCATTATCTAAACAGATTTTATTTTTGTTTTTTCCTTTTTTGTCTTTGTTGGTAAATTACAATTATCTTTAATAACCAGCAGAGGGTGCAATTAAATAGCTGAAAGTTACTGCTGCTGTTTTTATCTTGTCCATTATGTTTTCAGCATGTCATTTTTGTTTGTGTTTTCTTGGACAGGTAATGTGGTCACATTTTAATATTCAGTCAGTAAGATTGTAAAAGTTTTTAATATTTAGTGTCTGCTTGGTCAGGATAGCTTAGTCTTTTGTAAAAGAAAAAAAATTTTTTTAACTGTGGGCTGTAACAATTATGTTGCAAGGATCATAATAAATTCAGTTTTTAAAATTTGTCATAGATTCAAAATTCACAGTGTTTTAGAAAATTTGGAGGATTTAGTGATTACTAGTACCATTAGCCAAGGATAAAGGAAAAAGTTCATTTTGAATCCATTCATCTTAATGATAGTTTGTGTAATTTATGCCATGAACTCATAAGTATCAGTACCAAAACCTCTCTTCCATCTTGTCCTCTTGCTTCTAAAACCAAACAGATTTAAAAAAAAAAATAATAGAATTTTGCATTATAATAGCAGCTTCAGAGAGTGAGACTGTTGTCAATAAAAGACATGCTTCCTGCTGCACGTTGCACGAGTTCAATTGAAGGGATTGGAAGGTTTCCATGTGTCATTGCTACTCCTAGAAAAACAGCAATGTAAAAGTATGTCCATATGCCATCTCTTCTTATTCTCAGACTTCTCCCATTTACACCTTAAAATACTTCAGTATTGTGATCAGTTTGTTAAAGTGAGAAGCTAGTACTTTGTCAATTCCAGACATTAATCTGGAGAGGTGAAATATATTTTTTATGTACAGCGATTTATAAATTGTTTTGTGTGCATACAGTATTTGTTGATGTTTTTACTTTAGCTAATAACCAGGTCAAAGCTTGATTATTGTATTTATTTATAACTTTTCCAACCCTTTATAGTTCTTTTCCTATCTTCTTTTTTGCTGCTAATGTGTTAGTTTTTTGTGCAGATTATCAGTTTTTCATGAAAGTGAGCAGAGGTAGGGAAAAGTAGATTCACTTTTGTTCTTTAGAAACTTAGTTAAGTAATGATAAAAGTCATTTTGTTCTTTCTAAGCTCAGTTTAGTACATAGTGACAGTCAAAATGGTTCCAAAAATGTTTCTCTTACTCCCATCTGTAAGTATGATTTACAACTGTATGTATATATACATTTTGCTCACTATACTCAGCTTTTAAGTTGTAAAAAGGGTACCATAGATAATTAAATTGTATGTATGGTACCATATATAGGTAATGTGTTTTTTACCTATCCCATGCCTCATTGTGATTTACACCTTCCTTCCTTAACCTTGCATGCTTGAGTTATTTTCTCACACCCTAACTCTTCAGATTCAGGACCAACTTACGGTCCTTCTCCTCCTATTTCTTCACCCAGTCCTACCCCCAACTCCCTACATAAATCAGTCCACAAGATTAGAGAGGTTTTGGGCTAGTGGAATTATGGAAGGGGCTAAGGAGAAGATATGTATTTATAATGTGGAATTAGCAAATACCCACCACTATGCCCCATAATAAAGCTGATCAAAAGTTAATCCTTAAATAGATTTCTAACTTCTAAGTGGTCTTAAGTTTTTATTTTCTTACAGGGAGTATTCTGCACAACTGTGTTTTTAACATCCTTTACCTGATTGTTTTAAACTATTATAATAACAAGATTTTATCCTCAATATCAAACTTTTCTGAATAATATTCCCATAAAAAGCTGTGGTTGAATGGAAGTAGTATCTTAGTACAGATAATCTAAGAAAGGTAAAAAGATGTAGATTCTTCCCTCACTCACCTTTGGTACTAGCGATTGAACATAGGGGCACTTAACTACTGAACCACATCCACAGCCATTTTTAGTTTTTATTTGAGATAGGGCCTCCCTAAATTGGTTAGGCCCTCACTGAGTTGCTGTGGCTGGCTTTGAACTTTGAATACTCCTGCCTCAGCCTCCCAGGCTGCTCAGATAACAGGCATGTTTGCCACTGTGCAGATGTATATTATGTACTTAACCATGATTTTGGGCATACCACTTAGCCTTTATGTCTCATTTTACTTATTTGTAAAATAGATAATATCTCTTTTATTTTGCAAGTTAAGTTCTAAGGATCAGCAGAAATTTCTGTTTATGGAAATCTTTGAAATTTTTTAAGCAGTGAGAAAATCAAGTATTTTATTTTATGATGGTGGAAAAAACAGTATAATTTCTTTCTGGAATTTATTTGCCATTTTTCCCTATTGGTGTTTTCTAAAAGTAAAGATATCATATATTTTTCTTCAGGCAGCAGAAAATAGCAGACAGAGAAAAGAGAGCAGCAGAACAACAGAGGAAGAAAATGGAAAAGGAAGCACAGAGGCTAATGAAGAAAGAACAAAATAAAATTGGTGTGAAACTTTCATAACAAATGTTCTTCAAATGTCATAGTGCCAGTAGGAGAAATCTGAGCTCCACAACCCAGACATCATTTATTTGGATTTAAGAATATTTTCAGAATACAAACACACTGCTTAATTTCAGTGCATTCATCAGGCCATCCAGGACACCAGAATTCTCCCAAAGTACCTTGAACTCCTAGTAATTAAGACTCAAAAGAACAAAGAGGACTTATGAGACAATATTTTCTTCAACATGCTCCAAATATAAGACAGTTGTTTGCTGTAGAGAAATTATTACGAATGGAATATACCAGTACCTCTCAAGCTAGTGTTTCTAGCTAAATTAATGGTTGTAAATAATTTTATGATGGAAAAGAACTCTGCTATTATGCTTTCCTTCAATGTGCATAATTATAAAATAAATAATTTTAATATTCTTTGTTTCCATTATTACCTGACCTAAATTAGATAAGTTGTAGAGTTTCAACTTCTTTATCTTTGTTGTCAGAAGCTGATGTTGGCATACGTTTTCTCTAATTTGGAATGATTTTGCTTATGTTTGGTAGAACATTAAGGAATATGAAATTTTGGGTTTTCAAAAAAATGACATTAAATGCAATAATCTGATAAATATTTTATACTTCATTATTTTCTTTTGATGATATAATGTTAAGCATATTTGTAATTTATGTTGCATATGTAAACATTGAAAATCAGCTAAAATGACAAATTTGTTTCACATTATTATAACTTGTGAGTTTTAATTGGTATTTATAATTTTTCCCTTTCATTACAGATTTTAAGATGTTGTGGTGTCTTTAAATACTTTAGTTCTTCCTCCACCTCAAAAGCCATTAAGTTTCAAATGCAGAAAGACGTCAATTCTATATTTCAGAGCTTTTGGATGAATGCTATTTAATATATCTGGTATAATGCAGGTTACCTGTATTGTTGGCTAAGGTAATGTTAGGGACCCATTAAAATATGAACCATGATAAGAATAATAATTTTATTTATGGTGTTCATAGACTTGTTATAAAGAAATAGTTGTATATTGTATTCATAGGGGGAAAAACAGATTTGATAGTTTAAAATCCCATTAAATTTTTTTTCCACAATTAAAATGAATTTATCCTGATTTTTTATGGCTTTAGAATTTTTTAAGTTTTTTTCTTATTAAAAATGTTGCCCAGAATTAACATTTTGAGGGATTTTAAAATGTCATGGACATTCTACAGGCCAAATATTGGTATGTTTGAAGTAAAGTGATATTTCATGGTAACATCACAAACTATACAATAAGTTTCCTAAGCTCTTAGCCTAAGCTTCCAGACTAAATGTGATTATAGACAGTTGAATTTAACTGATGGAAAGCTTTTTATAGTGCCAAAACACATTTTCAGTTATTGTGTGTATTAGTTTATGCCAATAAGCTCATAGTTAATTAGAATTAGAGTCAAATTTTTAATATGTCTATTCTCTTTTCCCTTTGTATTTATTTACTTTTAATTCTTACAGGGATACTATGTGATTTCTCAAATTTTGGGATTCATAAAGAGAGATAGCGTCCTTTAGTACAATTGCATTCATTGCATTTTTCCAGTAGTAGAAAAATATTGGAAGTCTGCTTTGGTCATAATTTTCATATATGTGAGGTTTTGTTTATTTGCTCTTTGGTTTCTTTCTTTTTTTTTCTTTAAAGAATAATAGACTATTAGAAGTTATAGTTTGTATGGTTAATTAGAAAGAAGTAGATTTTTCTCATGAAAAGAATAGTGAACAATTCTGGAATTTTTTATTTTATTTATTTATTTTTTATCTCTATTGATGTGTAAACTAAATTCCCACATTGGGAATACTGTAGTCTCAAAGTCAAGTTAAATTCGTATGATGAACACTTCATGGCAGCAAACTATCCTCTTTAGTTGCTAAATTTATGGTTTTGGTTTTATTCTTTTAATAATTGTCTGTTTTAGAAACTTATTACAAATACAGAAGAAATATTGACAGATTTAAATAGAATGAGTGAAGTTCTACTCATTTTCTGAATTGTGCATTTGAGATAAGTAATCAGAGACTTGTGAATCTTACACAATACACACACACATACATATATTTATATATATATATATAGAGAGAGAGAGAGAGACATTTAATTATTTTCAGCTATTTACTCTGTATTTTTTTAGATAAACATTACAGTAGAATGTATTTTGACAAACATATATGGAGTATAACTTACTGTAATTAGGATTCCATTCTTGTGATTGTACATGATGTACATTAGTGGCGTATGCATATATGACATAGGGAAGTTATGTCTGATTGATTCTACTGTCTTTCCTATTCCCTATCACCCTCCCTTCCCTTCATTCATTCCCCTTTGTCTAAATCACTGAACTACCGTTCTTCTCTCCTCCCCATATTGTATTTTTGCATCCACATATCAGAACATTCAGCCTTTGGTTTTTTGAGATTGGCTTATTTTCCTTAGCATGATGATCTCTAGGTCCATCCCTTTTCTGGCAAAAAATCATAAAGTTATTTTTTATGGCCAAGTAATATTCCATGTGTATATATACACCACATTTCTTTATCCATTCATCTGTTGAAGGGCACCTAGGTTGGTTCCATAGCTTAGCTATTGTGAATTGAGCTGCTAAAACATTGATGAGGCTGTATCACTGTAGTGCTAATTTTAAGTACTTTGGGTATATATCAAGGAGTAGGATAACTGGGTCAAGTGATGTTAGTTCCATTCCCCGTTTTCTAAGGAATCTCCATGTAGCTTTCCAGAGTGGTTGCACCAATTTGCAGTCCCATCAGCAATGTATGAATGTACCTTTTTCCCTACATCCTCATCAACCTTTATCGTTACTTATGTTTTTGATAATTGCCATTCTGACTGGAGTGAGATAGAATCTCAGTGTAGTTTTAATCTGCACTTCTCTAATAGCTAGAGAAGTTGAACTTTTTTTTCATATATTTATTGACCATTTGTATTCTTTTGAGAAGTGCCTGTTCAGTTCCTTTGCCCATTTATTGATTGGATTATTTGTGGTTTTTTGGTGTTAAAAGTTTTTTGAGTTCTTTATATATCCTAGAAATTAATGCTCTGAGGTGCAGGTGGCAAAAATTTTCTCCAATTCTGTAGGCTCTCTCTTCACATTTTTTGTTGTTTCCTCTTCAGTGCAGAAGCTTTTTAGTTTTATACCATCCCATTTATTGATTCTTTGATTTTATTTCTTGCACTTTTGGAGTCTTATTAAGGAAGTCATTCCCTAAGCCAAAATGGAGAGTTGGGTCTACATTTTCTTCTGGTCAGTATAGGGTCTTCTGGTCTAATGCCTAGGTCCTTGATCCACTTTGGGTTTTGTGCAAGGTGAGAGGGATTAAATTTCATTCTGCTATGTATGGATTTCCAGTTTCCCCAACACCATTTGTTGAAGAGGCTGTTTTTTCTCCAATTTGTGTTTATAGCACCCTTGTCTAATATAAGATAACTGTGTTTATATGACTTTCTGTCTATGTCTTCTATTCTGTTTGTTTCATTGACCTTCATGTCTGGGTGCCAGTAGCATGCTTTTTTGTTACTATGGCTCTGTAGTATAATTTGAGGTCTGGTATTGTGATATCTCCTGATTCTCTTGATGAGGATTGTTTGTCTATTCTGGACATCATATTTTTCCAAATGAATTTCATAACTGCTTTTTCTATTTCTATGAAGAATGTCATATAAATTACATTAACTCTGTATAGTGCATTTTGATAATATGCTTGTTGAAGAACATGGGAGATGTTTCCATCTTCTAAGGTCGTCTTTAATTTCTTTAGTGTTCTGTAGTTATCGATGCAGAGGTTTTTTCACCTCTTGTTAGACTGATTCCCAAGTATTCTATTTTTTTAAGGCTATTATGAATGGGATAGTTTTCTTAATTTCTCTTTCATCCAGTTATTAATGTTATTAAGTTTGAGCTGGGGATACCCTCTCTTGGCACCCTTTAATAGCATATTTAATTGAATAGACATTTTAGAACTATTGATTAAAATTCTACATTTGAATTTCTGGATAAAGACTGGTGACTGGGGAGATAATCATAGCAATAGAAACCAGCATCTGGATTGAGCTTTCAGCATCACTCTGGATCAAGTTACCCCCATAGCGTAATCCTAACCATAGTTGATTTTGCAAAAAGCCTTAAGTTTTTTTAAATAATGTTATTTATACTAAAGGGATAAGTTTGGGCCAGATATAGCTAACATTCATATTTTGTTTAATCCTATGTAGTTCAAATTAGGGATAACTTCCTGCAATAATTTTCATACTCTGTCCCTTTACTTAAAGGAAACCTTTCATTAGGTGTGGAAGAGGATACAATAGTTAACAAGTTGAATGTTCTAGCTGAAACTAAGTTGGGAAGAAAGCAATGCGCTAAGGCTTACAAAGTATTCTAGGAAAGGAGTTTCTGTGTACTCTCAGGCAAACTGGAGGGCTGAAGAAGGTGGTGGACCTATGAAAAGCATGTTTTGGTCACTTGAACTTGTTTCTGTTTACCTAGCCTTTTTTTTTTTTTTTTAAGTTGCTCTGTCCTAATATGAATGGTAACCAGAGCTACTATTCCAAGGTTACAACAAAAGCTAGATTTGTTTTTTTCATTGTTTGTTGTTTACTTCATACTTTTTAGTTCCCGTGCTCTTAGTTTTAGCCAGATAGGTATGCTCAGTAACCAGATGTTTTTTCACTAGAAGGCTTCAGTCTTTTAGGGTTGAAAACAGACATGATTGTAGGAAACCTCCCTCCTGTTTCTACAGATTTCTTTTGTTTCTGCCTTTGTGTACCTGCTGCTGAAACTAATTCATAAGCAGCAACTTTTTCAGAGGAAAATGTGAGTGAAAGTGAAATCCAAAATAATCTCGGCCTTCTCTTTCAGGGGACTTTCTGGCTCTTTCTGCAGGTATTTTCCTCAGATATTCATAAGTTGAGAGCATCTCAAGAGTCCTAAAAACTGCTACAGAGATGGTGTGATATTAAACAGTCTGCCCAAGCTGTAGGTCTTAAATGGACATTGTGGTTTCAAAGAATAACTGAGTGGTTTTAAGTGTTAAATATAAATACCAAATGATAGTTACATGCTTCTCACCATGCAGTGATATTGACAGTCTCTTTCTTTCTGAGGGTGAGAAAATTTGACTGATCTTGCAATATTTTATGTACCTTTCAGTGAAACTAAATATAGCCAGAGAATCCACATTTAAGATGTACTGTTAGGATTTGGAACTTAAATTTGTCTTCCAAAGGCTTATATGGTAAAGGCTTGGTCATCAACTTGTGCTCCCATCAACTTGGGAGAAACTTTTGGAGTTGAGTTTAGGGGAAGGAAGTTAAGTCAGTGGGGCATGTCCTTGAAGGGGATATCCCAACCCTTTTCTTTGGTTTCCCAACCTGTGTAAAGTGATCAGCTCTCCCCTGCCATGTACCTTGCCATGTGACTATAGATTGAAATGCTGAACCAAAATAAATCCTCCTTTTTAGGTTTTTTATCTCAGGTTTTTGATAGCAATGGAAATCTGATTAGCCCATAATGCTTA